TTTATGAATCATATTATCACCAAAACAATGACAACAGACAAAAAAAATAAAAAATAAAAAAATAATCTGCTAATGAGGAAAGAAATGAAAGTTGGGTGCGGTGTACAGTGTAAACGCTATGTGGGATTCTCAATTCAGAAAGTCACATGGCAACAGTGAATTCACTGATTTACCTTACAGTGAGCGTGCCCTTATTTTGTCCGTATATGCAGATGGATTGTGAAGTCATGTGACTTGGTGCACATGCTTTGGTTTTCTCGATTTTTTGCTCGATTTTTTTTATTACAGTGACAACTCATCTCTACTTGATATATTTGGGATTCTCAATTCAGAAAGTCACATGGTAACAATGAATTCACTGCTTTACCTTATAGTGAGCATGCCCTTTTTTTGTCCGTATATGCAGATGGATTGTCAAGTCATGTATTTTTTTATTACAGTGACAACTCATCTCTTATTGATATATGTAGGATTCTCAATTCAGTAAGTCACATGGCAACAGTGAATTCACTGATTTACCTTACAGTCAGCATGCCCTTATTTTGTCCGTATACATACATGGATTCTCAAGTCACGTGACTTCGTACACAGTATTTGCTTTTCTCTGTTTTTTCAGTCTAGTGACAACTCATACCTTGTTCATATATGTCGGATTGTCATGCAGAGGAATCTTTCTAAAGCCGTTCATAACCAACTATATAAACGAGTAAAGGTGAAGACACAACCTTATAACTCATTTCGCCCTACGAAATTATCATTTATTTGCTTTAAAAAATTAGCATGGCTACATGGTTCATGGGAGGGAGTGGGAATCGCAGAGGTGGTAGGAACTTGCAAAGGGGTGATAGTTCACGACGGGGAGGGGGAAGGGGAAGTGGCGATGCTAAAAATGAAACACTATTTGCTTCGTTAGATGCCTCTTGTGCTTATCATGATAGGTTTGGGAAGCGACATTTTGTCATGCCCAAGTACTATCGAGATCCATGTGGTTTGGTGGAGGAACCATCAGATAATCAAACAGGATCTGGTTTAGCAAACGCTAGACTTCTGAAGTGGCCTGCACTATTTATAGAGCGAGTCCAAATGGAAAGATTATGTCGGGAAAATGGATTGAAGGTGCCAAAAGCACGTTCTGTTGAGATTCAAAAGGAAAATCCTGATAATGTTGATCGACTATGTGAAAGACTACAACGTGAGATTTCTCAAATGAACCGTAGGTTAGCCCGCGATATGAAGCTATACATAGTTAAGAAGGATGCCCAGAAGAACAAAACAGAACCAAATGATGCGGCTATCAAGGGTATCATGGAGGATCCTCAGCTTGTCTTTGATGCTAAGCTTTCGGATTGTTCAGACTCTGAGCCACCTGCCGATTTAAGCGCGAATTAGGTGTTAATGTCTACACTTCGGCAATATAACAACTTGCATTAATATGTAATGTCTGTGTTAGAGTAAGTATAACTGTTATGTTATGTTATGTTTATGTTTAAGTTTATGTTTATGTATTGTGTCTGTCAAATGTTACGGCTATTAATATGCAATATTAGGTCATGAATTAGGTGTTTGTCTGTCTAACTGTTATGTTTATGTATTGTGTGTTTAGTTCAGGGTGTCCAGGATACATGTAATGTGTGTTCAGTTCATGGTGTCCAGAATGTCTTTTTGTGGGAGAATTATGTCTATACTACCTATGTAACTGGAAACTATTACATTTGCAACTTCGGTTATGTTGTTTTCATGCCTGTATGAGTATTTAGTAAATTAGTGACTTCGTATATTATGTATTAAGTATTATTACAAAATTGTTGACAAAATTTATTTTAGGAGCTCTCGCTGTGGCCTTCGTCTTCTTGGCCTACTCCGCGGTGGTCTTCGCGTCTCACCTTTTGTCTTTGCTCGTCGAGCTGCACAGTGTGTAGGTGTGCTTCGGACTGTATAGCATGCATATCACATTCTAACCCATAACAAAGACGAAACAAAAAAATAAATTTTCTAAATGAAAATGGGTACAAAACGGCTTTACTAAACTGGGTTTCTAAATTACATTCTCACCTTCTAATCCAAAATAAAGACAAAAGAATAAATATATGTGTATGTTTAAATGAAAACAGCTTTCGTAAAGCCAAAATAATTTTCTAAATAACACCTTCTAACCCAAAACAAAGACAAAAGAAAAAAAAAAAATTTACATGAAAATGACTTTAGTAAAGCCAAAAAAAACTTATTAATTACATTATCACCTTCTAACCCAAAACAAATACAAAATAATAAACAAAAAAAAAATTTAAATGAAAACAACTTCAGTAAGACGAAAAAAAATTATTAATTACATTTTCTAAATCAAAACAAAGACCAAAGAAAAAATAAAAAATTTAACATGAGAATGGCTTCAGTAAAGCCAAATAAATGAACATGATTGGCTTAATAATATCTAAATGAATATGATTTTAAAATTATATATATGAAAAATAGTATGTAAAATTAATATATGAAAAGAGATTTTTCTCATATTATGTAAAATTTATTGTAAACCTGCATTCAAAAACAAAAGAAAAAAAAAACATATTTTAACATGACAATAGCTTTAGTAAAGCCAATTTCAATTTTATGAATTATATTATCACCAAAACAATGACAACAGACAAAAAAAATAAAAAATAAAAAAATAATCTGCTAATGAGAAAAGAAATGAAAGTTGGGTGCGGTGTACAGTGTAAACGCTATTGGAAATAGCATTTTCTTCAGAACAGTACTGCGCACTAAAGGCGCTATTCCGAATAGCGTTTTCGTCACATATACAGTGAAGACGCTATTTGTACTAGCGTTTTCTTCACAAATCTGCATTCCGAAATGAAGCTATATTCAGAATAGCATTTTATTTAGAAGCGCTATTTGCAACAGCGTTTTCTTAATCAAACTCGCGAATTGGAATAGCGATTACATTGTTCATCAATTTTTGACCTCCTCACAGTAAAAGTGCGAATCGGAATGGCGCTTCAGCTTAGTTTGAAAATGTCGTCAAAAGTTGACCTAATTTGAGAAATAAAATGCAAAAAAGACTTATTTTGAGAAAAGCCCCGATTAAAGAAGTGAAAGAAAGAGAAATGCTGAAAAAGAGAGTTTACTGAAAATTGAAGTTTTGTTTCTCATCAGTTTTTTGTGTGATTTGATGGGAAATCAAAATTATTTTTTACCAAAAAAAAAAATTACGCTACTTAAATTATCCCTCTAAATACAAAAACAAATAAAATGAAAAGATACATATATCTTCTTTTATTCATTAATCATTCAAATAAGAAAATAAAAAATTACAACCTTTTCCTCCTAAGAGAGGAATTATATTATTATTTTATTTCTTTTCTGGTCTCATGATTCAAAAAAAAAAAAAAACTTGGTTAATCTTTTTATTAACTATGCTTTGCAGGGTGATAAGGGAGAACCACATAGACAATCATTGCCGGAAAACGCACTTGCGGAAAACTTGTTCGCCGGTATAGGACCACACAAATGGTTATTACTCACATTCAACTTCTCAAGCCCAGAAATTGCTTTAGGCAACTTCCCAAACACCAAATTTCTTGACAAATCCAAATCCTTCAAAGTATTGGGAAATTTCACACTTTCCATGTCGAACCGTATCCGATTACCCGAGGCCTGAAAACCCACCAAATAATTGGTTCGGTTCAGTAACCCAACCGGGCTACCCGATATTTCATTGTCGGAAAGATCAATGTAGTCATAAAAATAGGTCTCCGCTGGCTTCCAATCATCAAGCTTGATCTTGATCCCACATCTTGCGACCTTGAGAGAGTATATTATAGTAGATGAAGTGACCCATTTAGGAATTTCACTCAGATGAAACCCATTATATGATAAATCTAGAGATTCAATACCTTTCACATTCATTTCTGGAAATGGGTCGACGAGAAAATTGTGAGAAAGATCGAGATTGAATATTTTGGTGAGATTCCCAAAAGATTTTGGTACTGTTCCAGAAAATCGATTCCATGAAAGATCCAAAGTGTCGAGTGCGTGAAAGCTTCCGAGAAAATTTGGGATTTGTCCTGTGAAATAGTTGTGGCCGAGCTTTAGATATATAAGTTTCGGTGCTAGAGCTGAGATTGTTGAAGGAATTTTCCCGGAAAATTTGTTGTGGGAAAGTGAAAGTGAACGGAGCTCCGTCAGGGTCGAGAAAATGTCCGGTACGGTACCGGTGAGTTGGTTCCGGTCCAAACTCAGTAGGGTCAGCTTCTTGAGTTGCTGAATACCGGCCGGTACGGTACCAGTGAGAAGATTTCCGCCAAATTTGAGTTGACCCAGCTGAGTCAAGTTGGAAATCGAACTCGGGATTGGACCCGAAAATCGATTGTCAGCGAAACTCAGCGCGAAGAGTCGGGTCAAGTCCCCGATGTTGGCGGGTATTTGACCCGAGAGCTTGCTGTTTTCAATGTAGACGTATTCAATGTTTGGTAGAGAGAATAGTAGATTTGGAAAAGGACCCGAAAGGTTTTGGAGATCTTGGAGGTAAATTCCACCCAAGTAGTGGAGTTTGGAGAGAGATGGGGAGATTGTACCCGACAAGGAGGTGTTGGATTGGTCGGGCTGACCCACTAGGGTTAGGGTTGTGACCCGGTGGTTGTTACCATCGCATGATATGCCGAACCATTTGCAGCAATCGGTTCCGGGTTTCCATGAGTTAAGCTTGCCGGACGGGTCGGCTGTTATAGCCGATTTGAAAGCCAATAAGCCTGCCTCGTCGTCCATGTGGCATGTTGCCGTGGTGACTGTGAGGCACTGGAGGGTGACGAAAGAGAGGAGAATGAGGTGGAGGCGGAGGCGGGAAGAGAGAGAAAGCATATTATGGGTTTGAAAGAGTGGAATTAGAAATGGGTTGTCAATGAGAGAGACGACAGTTTTGGGCTACTTATAGGAGAGAGACACTAGTTTCGGTGCAATTCATAATGCCTATCTACTACTTTGGTACTTTGAGTTGGGGACTTCCAATCTTTTATTTGACTTGGTCAAAAAAAGTTGCATATTCACAATTCACATTTTTTTTAATAGATAAATTATAAATATATTTTTTTAAATTTATTTAAATTATAAATTATTTTTTATAATTTTAAAAATTATATTATGAGTGTTTTGATATGTGCGTATATCTCTCTCATATATATATATATATATATATATGTAGAGGTCTTAATCGTTACTTTAAAACAAAAATAGAAGTGAAATTATTATTTAAAAAAATTTAGATTTAGTAATTATCATTTGAAAAACTAATGAGTACTGAAGAGAGATCCAAATTAGTCAACAAAATCAGCACATGCAAATTTGAAACAAAACAAAGCGAGTGACCAAATTAGTCAACAAAATCAAATCATGCAAGTTTTGAAAGAAAGCAGAGTGAGTGATGAATTTTCTCCACAATAAGGCGGTGGGTGTCGGGGACTCGGAATAAAATCTAAATAGAATATTTTATTAATTTATAATGTTTATAAATTTATATATTTTTGTAAAAGCTTTTTAAGAATTAAATAAATTTAAATTAAATATTTAAGAACAAAGGATGCAACTAGGAGGTGAAGCATTTTATTACAGAAAAAAAGTAACAACCTTTGTGGTGTGTAATTTTGAGTATTTTTCTACATAAAAATGACTTACTTCCCATACATTGTAATTAGTTTTGGTCAATTACTTATAATTTTTCTTAGACCATCTCCAACGGTGAACCAAACCCAGCATCAGATTTAAATTTTGATGAAAAACCCACTTTTTCACGCTCCAACGGTTTCACCAAATCGATATCAAATCCAGAATTCAGCAAAAATGGTACCAAACTGAGTGCAGGCGAAGCATTTCAGCAAATCACTGTTCCTAACCGTTGGGATGAGACGAACAGGTCGACCATCCGGTTGACCAACCGGTTAACCAACCGGTCGCCCCGGAGAAAGTTCAGACCGTTCACAAAAAGGTTCAAACCAGTCCAAAAATAAAAAAAATAAAAAATTTTGCCTAGGTGGTCGACCACCCGGTCGACCGGCCGGTTGACCACCCGGTCGACCACCAAAAGTTCAAAAAATTCAAAAAAAAAAGGTTCAAACCGGTAAAAAAAAAAAAAAAAAAAATTTTGTTTGCCATTACCGTGTTGACCGGCCGGTCGACCGGCGCCGGTCAACCAACCGGTTGCCAGCGCAAAATTGATGAAACGGATTTGATGTTGAACCGTTGGAGCGCGAAGTATCAAATTAAGAAATGACCCATTTTTTACACAGATTTGATGAAATATTTGGTACACCGTGGAGATGCTCTTATATAAAATCAGAGTAATTTTAATAACAATAATACAAAAATCATTATATTCATATTTTATTTATTATCTTAAGAGTTATAATTACATTGATATTATATACAATAGTGAGATTCATTAAATTAATACAAATTATATTTTTATAAAATAAATAAAATGTAATATATTAAATGATTTTTTTAAATAGTACAATCAAGGACACATTACTTATTGATGAGGATTATGGAAGAGTTGGGGTGGTGTGATCAGAAGAGTCAAGTCTGTCAGCTGCAGCTTGATGCACATGCGCCCAACTCGCGCTTTACTTGGCTGTTAGCTGTCCTTTCTATCTTTGCCGCCTCTTTAGTCCCCCAACTACCATTCCTATCTTTATCTCAATTATTAATGAACTGGCGTATGTCCGTGGCACGCGTGTAAATAATGTTAGAATTATAATATAATTGTAATTGTAATACTATTTAAATTTAAGATTAAAAATAATTATAAAATATATTTATAGATTACACTGTATAATTCTAAACAAATCAAATATAAAAAAAATAAATTAAATATCAAATAATGCACACCAACCATTACTCTGCAATTTAAAAGGAATTAAAATTAAAATGCACACCAGTTAGTGTTACTGCTGCCAATAACTCATAAAAATATTTAAAAAACAATAACTCATAAAAATATACATAAAAAGAGTATATGACATTATGCAATTCTAAACAAAAATCTATATAAAAAAATCAATAATAAATATTCGAAAATAAACTTTTTAAAAATGTTGAGAAACCATACTACGGGATTTGCATGTTCCTTTCCTTTGCCAGAAGGGATAGCCTTTTCTGTCTCCTTTGATATTACTTTGCGTTTTTCCTTTTCCTTTCCCCATAAAAATAAGTAGAATATATAATTCAAATATATTTTTAAAAATGTAAGAAAATGCATGCGAATATAAGTTACTTGTAGGCTTACCTACGAATGCGAATAGTATTAAGGTCACGCTCATCGCGGACAATAACATTAACGATTTCTTTCTTGAAGAAATTAAATCTATATATATAAAAACTTTAGAGTGATAAATAAAATTTTATACACATAAATAAATAAATAAAATCATTCTTTCTTGATATTACCGTTCAGCGTAAGTCTTCATCCACCTATAAAGTATGAGGGAAAAGCATTTATTAGAGAAGATTAGATATGATAAGTTAAAATAAATAAATAAATAAATAGGCATTACATTATAAGGAGGTATTTTAAATTTCTATGGAAAAAAAAAAAGAGAACACTTACTTGACCGAAAATAGTGATATTGTTCATAACTATTATACTTCAACCTGAAATGTTTGGTTATATAATTATGGTTGTTCGATGATGTATTTTAACAATCACATTAAAATGATAAAATTAAAATCAACCCTAGCAACATGAAGAGTACTAAAATGGGAACACAACAATTGTCCAAATTTGAACTCTTCTCTTTCCCAACTGACTTCAATTTTATAGTGTTGAAATTAAATTTAAATTTATCATTATCATTTAGAAAGCCCAAACATAAATGTATGCCACCAAAAAAAAAAAATTTGTTTAAAAGAATCTCACATCAGCAATATGTCTTACCAATAGAAACAATATATAAAGGAAAAAAAAGTTACAAATCCATGAAAACCAAATCTTCTTGGAAGGCGATCAGCCTCTGTTTCTTGACTCGGTAATATTCCTCTTTTAGCTACTTGTTTTTAATAGTTGTGTGCTGAATGTGATTGTGCTCATTAACAACAATGTTACTAAGGAGGTTGTTTTGACATGGAAAATTTGGACGTTGTTAAGTTATTTATTTTTATTGTTTTTCAATTATTATTGTTCTAATAATTCATATGAATTTGAATTTATCTTATTTTTTTGTAATATATAAAGAATAAAACTACCCCTCTCTAAAACAATTATTTTTTGATCCCGAAAATGGATGTGCAGAAAGGCTAAATAAAATTACTCCTCTCTAAAACAATTATACCGTGTAAAGGATGTGATACCAATATTAATAATTTATGTTAATTGATTTTTGTAAAATATATGTACCAATATTATTTATACCGTGTCTTCAGGCACGGGCATACGCTAGTATATCTATATAGGACATGAGTCTACCCCGATAGGTGTAATTAAAATATAAATTTTAATTTTGAATTCATACTATATTTTTTATGTTGTTTTAGTGATGAAAGTATTTTTTAGTAAGTCAAGTAAATAGTCTTAGTAGAAATTAACACTTGACATAAGAAGAGAAAGCTACTTGGTAAAAAGAGAGAAGGAAATTCATGAATAATAGTATAAATTGATAGGATAGAACCATAGATCATGCCACTATGCCATATACATTAGTATCGGTCAATTGACATCACTAAATCTTGAAAAATCACTAATATATATATATATATACTTCATACTACAATTAGCTAAATAAATACTTCACTGCAATTAGCTAAAAGTATTGAGGTGGGCAGTTGGTAAATTTTTGAATCACTAATAAAATACTTCACTGCAATTAGCTAAAAGTAATTGAATTATTTTTAAAAATTCAGCCCATCTCTATATGTGTCAATTCCCGAAGATAAAATTTCTGAGCCTAGTTCACCAATCACCAAATATCATTCATATTTTTTCCAATCAAAATATGAAAATTCTTTGGGAGCAGAGAAAAGCAACTGCAAATATTTAGCTATTTACATTGGGTTTTTTTTTTCTTCACAAAAGATTAACATGAATGCTCTAGAATTTTGGTTTATTTGTATATCTTCAGTTGTTGATAAATATCATGAACGATGTCCTTTTGTTCTAAAAAAATGTTAAATGGTAGGTAAAATTAGCGATGGCAGTAATGCAGACGTGGGCATTGATTTTGATCATCAGTTCAAGTTAAAACTTTAATGTGATTCATTTCATTTGGATAAAATTGCACTAAAAAGAGACACCATAACTGGGCCACATTAGAGCCAATGGAGACCAAAGTTATCATGTTCATACTCATTCGGAAACTGATTAAAGATACAATCTGTTCTTGAATGGGATTAAAGTAAAATTGAATCAGTTTCTGCAGATTGATTCACTTAAATGGGATTATTCAATCAATCTGCAGAAACTGATGATCATCACATTAAACAGCAGAAACTCATTTAATTAGATTGTAGATTGATCATCAGTTTCTGATTTAATCAGGTTCTACAATCTGATCCCATTTAAACTGATTAAAGTGAACATTTGTAAACTGGTACAAAAAAGGAATTTTGAATCAGAAACGTTATGAAGAGGAGAAAACAGAATTCAAAACTCGAATTCCTCCGAATGTGAAATACAACAGCGAGGGACCAAAATTACCTTGCGAAGGGAACAACCAAGGGTGGGAGAGAGGGAACCTTGCGAGTGGTAATGATGAGCAGCGGCGCAATCTGATCGCAAGAACAAACTGATTAAAGTGAGAGAGGGAGGAGGACAGGAATACCTTGGCCAAATTGAAACGTAAAATAAAATTAAAAAAAAAAAAAAAAGTGTAGATATAAGACAAAGTAAAAGAAGATGAAGATAAAGATAGATGGACCAATTCCAAAAA